AATCGCCTTTATCACCTGTAGTCCCGTTGATCGTCGTGTGACTGGAGCGGGCGCCATTAAATCTCCCATTTTTCCCTGACGCGTGCACGAGTAGCCCAGTGGGTTCTGCTCGCTGTAGGGAATTGTCAAGCATCATATCTTTTTTCTAGGCTCCTCGTGAAGAACTCTGACCATTGAGTCGGTGGTCTTCCTGCAGTAGTTTGACATCCCGAGGAATCCAGTTACTAACAGCTCTTGTCCATCGGTTGTCGCTCATAGCATTACGTGTTCGGCTCACCTCATCTTCGATTGTCTGGCGTACAGAGCGGCATCTTTAATTTTTGATCGTTGACGTAGGTCGGAGTTTCGGATCTCATCCCTTAATTGTGTGAAACGGGATACTCCTATCATCGTTCTTCCGACTGTGCGTTCGATAACGCTGAGTGATCTTTCATCCTGCTTACGCAGCGGCCAGGTTTCTCACGCCTACTTTAGGGCAGGAAGTACCGCTGAGTCGAAAAGATGGGCACGGAGTCGGGTGTTCTTTGTCCTCTCCACCACATCCTCGATGCTCTTGAAAGCTCTCCAAGCCGTTCGTTTCTTTCTGCTCAACTCTGGAGCTGAGTCGTTCATTAGATTGATTTCCCGAAAGTATTCGGAGATATTCGCTCCGTTGAGCGTGAATGGGACGTACAAAACAAATCCGTTTCTCATGAACATCGTTTTTGTGAGATTTAGTCGAAGTCCAACCTTTCCGCAGACTTTGTCAAAACCGGCAAACATTCATTTCGCCTGGCTAATATTTGGTATTATAAAGACGATATCACCAGCAAAGCGAAGATGGTGTAACTTCCGACCATCGATTTTCACTCCCATGTTGTCCCATTCCAGTGTTCGCTTGACGTTCTTGAGGGACCAAGTAAATAAATTTAGAAGGATGGTATCTCCTTGCCTAAACCCTTTCTTGACGTCGATGGTGACATTGTTGTAGAATGGTGATATCTTGGTTGTGAAATCTTTGTATAGCTCACGAAGAATCTTTATATACTGACTAGGGACTCCCTGACTATCAAGGGCTTTCATGACTGCTTCAATCTCAATTGACTCAAAGGTCTTCTTTAAATCGATCGATGAGAGCCATGAAAGCGAGACAAAGCGGCCTTTTGCACCCTCGCGATACTTCAATGAGCCTTGTCATCCAGTGTTCTGTCAATCCTGTTTAGCATGACTCGGGTGAAAAGTTTGTATACGACAGACAGAAAGCGGATTGGCCGACAGTTGACGATATCGCGTAGGTCATCATTCTTGAACAATAACACGGTCTTGCTAGTCTTCCACTGAGTAGGGACCTTGCATTCAGACAGGTAACGTGTGAACAGCCGGGTCGGTGTACTTACGATGACTGGCGGAAGGTTCTTCAAGTGTTGAGATCTTATCTTGTCCGAGGCTGGTGCTGTTCGATTTTTCACCGACGAAATGGCATGTCGGATTTCGGAAGCGAGAACCGGTGGTACAACATATCCATCGTCCTTTATTTCGTATGACGGAGGGTGGACGTGACTATCGAAGAGATCTGAGTAGTATTCATGAATGGTTTTTTCCACTGTCTTTCTGCACGCTGTAAATGTTTCGTCTGTGTACCGGAGTGCAATCATCTTGGTTTTGTAATTAGCATAGCTTCGGTGGGCTTTGCAAATGCTTTTCCTAGCCACTGCAACTTCAACCATGATTGCTGCTCTTCTCTCTTTAAGATCTTCTTTCATCGCCTGTCTGAATTGTTTGCAAGTTTAGACGTTAGTCGGCTGTTGCCCGCAGCTCGTGCGATTCCACGCTGGCATATCAGTTCGACTGTTTCTGGAGACAGACGTCTCTCGGTGACTTTCGAGCTCTCAGCTTTTATAGCGCTAGCGTGAAGATATTGAATGAGCCAATCGTATTCTTCATCGACGATGTCTACAACGGCATCTTCCCAACAGCCGACTAGCGAGTTGAATAAGTCCCAGATTATGGTGGTTTTTGGACTTCGTTTTTTGAATTGAGCAGTTTTCTGTCATTTTTACGAGGAATAAAATCTTGCACGAAGGAGGCGATGGTCTGCTCTTGCGTAGAATTATGGGACAGCACCGACATCGGTAGGACGGAACTTTCTATTTACTATGATGTGTTCTATTTCGTTGTGCTACTCTCCATTGGGAGATTCCCATGTCCAGCGTTGAAGGTGGGGCTTCTGGAATTGCGAGTTACCATGGATTGTTTTGGTCGCCGTGATAAACTCAGATAGCCGCTCACCCTGTTCGTTCCATTCTAATCCATGGCTGCCAATGTGACGCTCTTCTTCGTCCAATCTTGGCCTTGAAATGTCCAATAATGGCCTTGAGGAATGCATGGTCTTTTCTGTAGAACTTCTCCAAGGCCATATAGAACTCTTCGACTTCTTCTTCGTCATGGTTTGTTGTCGGAACGTAAACGACGCAAATTGACAAAGCTGGTATTGACCCACATCTGTTCATTCGTAAAAGTCCAATTCGGGTTGTTAGTTGTTCCAATGAATCGACGTTCATGGATACACTCGTGTTGACGAGAACGCCGACGCATCCCACTCCTCTGTTGTCGCATGTTCCGAGAAACAGTACTTCTCCGGTGTCATAGACGGCGTTGAAAGGCTGACGTTGTCTCGTCTCGGCTAGGCCGATGACGTCGTACCTTATTTTTCTTGCCTGTATGATCAAGTCTTCTAACGAGGATTCGGTTGCAAATGCGCGTGCCCGTAGGTACAGATCGTCACCTTAGTTTTCTGCGATCGAGGCAGCTTCCATTGGTCCTGAGACTTTAGAAGGCTCTCGGCACTTGTCCAACCCAACGCTGCCGAATTGGAGGCTCTTTCGGAGTGTGGAAAATGAGGCCCTTTTTTATCTGTGTTTAGCATTTTGATACCCACGTGTAGCTTGCTGGGCTGTGAACGTTGCGGCCGGGTATACTCACGAGTAGCTTGCCAAGCTCTCCCAGAGTGGACATGGAGCTCATTTGTTGGAGAACACTCCTAACCACCTCCATATACTTCCCTGTCACTGTCACTTTATTGTGGGCTTTTGTCTGAATTGACTCTTAGAATACAATCGGCATAAGCAAGAACGAACCCACACACGTATACATGAATGCGCTTAGCAAATACAGAAGATACGTGCCATATCGGCGCAGCAAAAACGAAGGTCGCTTTTGGTCCGCGACTTGCCCCTTATCGGTCACCTGGGAATGCGCCGCAGCCTCACGACTAACCGGCTCGAGATACATCAAATGATGGAGATCCGTGGATAAAGTAGAATACGGTGTGAAACTAGTTCAAAAACAATATGTTGGTATAAAATGCTGAGATATTTGCAAAACTCCGGACCACAGGTGTAAAAAGATCGATCTTTTTTGCCATCGATAGAAGTAGCTGAGATATACGCAAAGCGAAGGACCCGGATGGTGTAGTGGTGAAGTGCGCTGCTCCCCGGTAAGGACAACAGCTCGTGTTCGTTCTCCACTGCGTACACCTGTGGTCCGGAGTTTTGCAAATATCTCAGCATTTCATACGAGTTATATTTCGCAACATAACCTGCCATTGAGAAGAAAAAAGGCAGTAAATAAAAGAGTTAAGACAATATATTGGTTTTCGTGTTTTTATGAACTTACCATGTTGAGCTGTTACGAGATTTGGTGTAGTTGTCGCTGTTATTGTTATTATTCAATGGCTAATGTTTCGGCGATTTCGCCTTCCTCAGAGCCGTGCTGTTACGATTGGGACTCTTACTAGACCAACCTCGCATCAGCTCAGCAGGATGAGTTCATAAGAATTAACTAAATATATTGATTAATTATCCTATGGAAAGTCGGCCTTTTGAGTTCCAAATCGGTTCAAACATGTTATTAACCTCCTTCTCGTTACAAAGGCATTGGTGTAAAAAAGAATCTTCATTATACGGTGCATTGGGTTGTTGATGGGATCCTAAAACAAATCAACAACACAACTGTGCAAATAAGCCATTCGACTCGCCGCTCAGTTTTGATCCGCCCTCATGACATCACTGCACAATTCCAAACCTCAAGCAGGGCACTCTCAGTTCCACCACATACTCTTTACTACATCTCTTAATAACTCGAAAGACCGACTTTCTATGAACCTCGGCATAAATAGTTGATATATTTATTTATGAGATCTTATAAACTGATCTTCTTAAGCTGACGCGAGGTTGGTACAGATCTTCGTTGTCGTTGTCGTTGTTTTTGATGTTATTGATCGATGGCTGACGTTTCGGCGACTTCGCCTTCCTCAGAGCCTGGACGTACTTTATGTTAGAATACTTTTTATTATTCGGTGGAAAAGAAGGTTAAAGTATTAATGAAGATCAAACTTTCAAATAGACGCCATATTGAACAGAAAGGCCACTCACCGTGATGTTACGTGCGGGACTGGCCCACACGTAGTTCACGTGGAGTCGCGAGCAAGACACGCCCCGGGGTCAAAATATCATTTTGAAATAGGGCGCCAGGTCACGTGTGATAGTGAGGCATTCGTCCTTCCGGTTCATCTTTGGATTTTTGAAATTTATCCAAAACGCCTCAAGAGTTTTGCGCGTTGATGTTTTTGATTCCTGCGCTAGGATCCGCACATTCACTTCAAAATCATCGCCGTTGTGCTTTTGTGCCCTATGCGTACCTAGAGGGGTGTTTAAACGGATTTTAGCTTTCCCATCTAGATGTTCTTTTATGCGGACACAAAGTGGTCTACCCGTTTCCCCGATATATTCCTCGCCGCATGCATTACATGAGATCAAGTATATTATACCTAAACTCATGCAATCCCCGTCTCTCCCGTTAGGGCAGATCATACAGTTTTCTGAGCTGCACAAACGATCATAGAGACGGTTTCGAACTAACTGNATAGGGCGCCAGGTCACGTGTGATAGTGAGGCATTCGTCCTTCCGGTTCATCTTTGGATTTTTGAAATTTATCCAAAACGCCTCAAGAGTTTTGCGCGTTGATGTTTTTGATTCCTGCGCTAGGATCCGCACATTCACTTCAAAATCATCGCCGTTGTGCTTTTGTGCCCTATGCGTACCTAGAGGGGGGTTTAAACGGATTTTAGCTTTCCCATCTAGATGTTCTTTTATGCGGACACAAAGTGGTCTACCCGTTTCCCCGATATATTCCTCGCCGCATGCATTACATGAGATCAAGTATATTATACCTAAACTCATGCAATCCCCGTCTCTCCCGTTAGGGCAGATCATACAGTTTTCTGAGCTGCACAAACGATCATAGAGACGGTTTCGAACTAACTGGCGGCGTAGGGTATTGGGTGGGATGTCAACAATCGTTACATAATTTTCAAGACCACTTTTTCTTAAGCACTTTTTAATGGCGTGACTTACTTCATTTGATATGAAGGGCAGCTTAAAGGGAATCTTATTTTCGTGTGAAATATTATTTTGGGAAACTACCCAGTGTTCTCCTCTAACCCGAGTGGCTTCTACTTCGTAGCCATTGGAAATGGCAATTTTTCGTGCCAGGTTTCGCGATTCCTTCCTTTCCTCTTCTCCTGTGCACACATTTTTAGCCGTACGATACATATTTTTGATAAGTGCTTTTTTCATGTGTGAAGGATGAGAGGAGAGGCAGTGGACTAGAATGTTTTTACTACTTGGCTTGCGATACCATTTTGTTAAATAGCCACTTACTGAGAGCTTTATTTGGATGTTTAAGAATGGAAGCCAGTTCTCGGTAGGTTTTTCTCGTGTAA